GTGTGTGGGTGGGTGTGTGTGTGTGTGTGTGTGTGTGTGTGTGTGTGTGTGTGTGTGTGTGTGTGTGTGTGTGTGAGAGAGAGAGAGAGAGAGAGAGAGAGAGTGTGATTAAAATAGCCCAATTGCTTTTACAATAAATAAACATTGAATGTGTTTAATTGAATAGGAAAGGGGTTTAACGTTGGTGGCAGGTTGTGTGTGAGAGAGAATAAATAAGACAGCCCAATATTTAAAAAATAAAATCTATTATTTTTCGCAACTTCCCGCAATTTCACCGCATAAAATCAAATAAAAACCCTGCATGTTTAATCGCATAATCAAGGATTTTTGCCCGCGTTTTTCTGGAGGGTCTAGCCATTTTTGCTGTAACACTGTACATTTCCACACTGCAGGACTAACAAAGGAATTCTGATTCTGGTTATAAGCATGTTTATATTAAGACAAAAACTACTCACAACATGCAACAACCCACAAAACAGAAATTGTATTGTATCTTCAAAACACAAGATACATAAACAACTTCAGATCACTCTCACCTCAGGCAGCGGGTTCTTATCGTTCTCCCATGTGAGGATGTGGAGGAATGCGATGTTGAGGGCCTGGAAGGGCCCAGGGACCAGCTGGCCCTTCCCCTGACTGTGAGTCTGTTCTTCTCGGATGTTGTTCGTCAGCTCCTCCAGGGCGGACTTGAGCCACGAGGTGGTGTGATTCAAAGCACCTAAAGTAGTCAAAAAAGTCATGCAGATTTAGGAGATGGTTCTTCTGTCAATAATAAGAAAGTCATGTGTTTATTCCACTTATATAATATCCCACTTTATGTTTCTCAAATTAAAATCTGATATTTTCTAAAACGTGATGAATTGTGTTGCAACAGAAATGATAAAACAGACTTTACAGACAGTATTTAAAGCTGTAGAGAAAGTCGTCCCTTGTTCACTCACTGGGGGTTTTGTCCAGAACGCTCTGAAACATTTCCCTCTCACATTCCGCACCGTGCCTCTGCAGCAAAAGCCTCAGAGAATCGACTTCATAGTTGATTAAATCAGTCTTCATCAGGTCCAGCAGTCTGAAGATCTCCCTGATGTGTCAAAAATAAGAGCCTCTGTGATGGACTTGCTTTTAACAATAGCAACATAGGTAAAACATGCATTACAGAAAAATCTATCTTTGGTCACAATGTCTCTAAAAACTTTAATGTGTGCTTACCTGAACATTGTCACCATGTTATCTGAGTTTTGGCTGAGCTTCTTGATCTCCTCATCCCTAACGGGACAACACAACTTGCCCATGGTGGAGATAATGTAGGAGGCGAGCCCCTGGATGTCTACAGCATTATTGTCAGCCTGCTGACGAATCAGGTCCATGTCCAGCACCTCCATGATCTGTGTCCGCATCCGATTGGCCCCCGGATTAAGAAAGGACAATACAATCTGTCCAGAGGCAAAAATCATAATAAGTCTTACATCTGATCAGTAATGTTACTCGATTGGTGACTGTTTTTCTACATATAGTAGCCACAAAGGAGGTGATAGAGATGAAGAGAAGCAGATACAAAAGTATCTTCAAAATGGGAGAGGGCGCTGTGGATAAATGTCGGGAAACTCGGCGAGAATCAATCTTACAGTGAAGCTGTAAACATCTCATTGTGTGTGCTGACCTCTCTGATCTCCGCCAATAATCTGATGGCCTGCCCATACTCAGGAGGGTCGTCGGTCAGCTCGGACGCCAGGATGTCCCAGAAGGCCTTGTGGAGAGTATCTCTAACTAGCTTAGTAAGACTTGAAAAAAGAAACGGAGGATTTAGTTTGGGGGATGTAATCTGTCATGAAAAAATGGCCATTCATGAAATGGGCATTGAAGGAGAAAAGGTCAGTGTCATTATCAGGGTGGGGATGGTGCCAAAATACTGAATAACTGGTTTAGGTCATTTTTTTTTAAATAAAAAAACCCTCCTTTATTAAGTATTGAAAGTATTTCTTAACTTCTGCCTCATTATTGATATTATCATAACTTCCGCTGTCCCTTTCTTTGCACTTCCACTAAATAAATGATTCTCTTTTCCTCTCGTCTCCTCCCCTTCCCCCCTCTGAATGTCTCTGTCCACTTCACTGTTTTGTTTATTTCAGTGCTGTGTTAAAGATTAACATAAACACAGACGGGCAGATGTTGGTGAATACAGTAGAAATGGTAACACAAGGTGTACGGGTCAATGGGCTCTTTACTATAAAATGCCATCCAATTCTTATTATATTGAATATGTTTGAACAAAAGGTAGTGTCTCTATATCATTTCTACAATATTGTTTATTTAGACAAATAAAAAAGGTACTTTAATTCATTAAACATGCAGATTAAACAATTAAGATAATTTATTTTTGAGTAATTCCACCTCTTGTCTTTAACTGAAACTGAACACATTAATATTTTTTTAATTTTGAAGTAGCTGATTAACATTTTAAGGTGGTTTTACAGTTGCTAGTCATTCTAGTTATGAGCAGATAAGCTATTATATTGTAAAAATGACATCAAGCCTAATGTAATTAGTGATCCAGTTCATGTGAATTGTTTTTGTAAAGCTTAACCTCACAGATTGGTATTTAGGTTCATTAATAATCCACAAAACATGATCAAGATCCAAACAACGTTTCATACCTGCCCTCAGGGAGGCTTTGTGGTTCCACGTGGAAGTCTTGGTTCACGGCGATCTCATGAGCGAGGCGGAGACTGGACAGGTCTCTGGCAGACTCCATCACTTCATCCAGAGTTAAGGTTTTGGGTGGGCTTGCTGTGATAAACAAATATTGAACAACCTTACTAAATAGACAATTAAGAGCTGAAACAGAAAATTGGGAACATCAAATGTATCGTTCGAAGAAAAACAGAAAAAAACTAAAATACAAAAATACTTCTGCTTTAAATTGCTTTTGTCACCTTCATTGGAAGTCATTGGAAGAGTATTACATTTCACTGTGCAGTATCTAACTTTTCATTCTGTTCTTGTTTATCTTAATCTATTTACATGTACTTGTTACTAACAACATTTAGCTATTTGTATTTATTTAGTTTACTTCATCCGCATTAATTGCACATTGGTCTTGCACATTTTTATTCTACTCCGTTTCTTCTTGCACTATTTTTTATAGTTTTTCTAATTTGTTTTATTGTTTATGTCATATATATTTATGTTGCATTGTAGGGGGAGCCTGCGACTTAAGATTTCCATTGCCATATCTACACTTTAGCTACTGTGCATGTGACAATAAAGCCTTTGAATCTTGAATCTTTGAAGTCTTGAAATATTGTCAGCAGAATCAATAATACTCAGTCTCAAAGTTTAGCCTGACACCAAACAAACCAGAGTTCCTTTCCTGAGAAAAAGATGACTGCACCCAGGAATGAAATCAGTACGTCAGAGTCTGAGGGGTGAACTCACAGGAGGGAGTGCAGTGTTTGCTGGAGCCGTCGCTGGTGAAGCTCTCCCGGGAGCTGGCTGAGGTCACGCTGTCGCTGCGCTCTGATGACGACTCCACGTCCTGCTGCTCTCCGTCGGATGTGGAAGCAGGTCGCTCATCATTGAGAGGCATCTTGGGTTACAGCTGCACATGAGAAATCAGTAACATGACCTAGCTTGTTGACTACAACTGTGATTTCTGAACGCTTCTTCTAATTGAACTTGTTCAGCAAGTCACAAGTTAATGAGTACAACTTTCAAAGCAGCACAGGAACAGGTTAATCATTCCCCCTTTGCTTGGAAACTACTATTGGTATTTATACCATAGTAAAATATCACTGACAGTTTATGTCTGCTGATATTTCTTTTCTTATTAGCAACACATCCCATGAAAAGACCAAACCGCACAATAAATTAAACACTCTAAAAAGTATTTACAGAGCGGCCAAAAGCAGATTATTTCTTCTGTTGTTGTCCAAAAACAAGTAAATGTGCCAAACTGTTGCACAGTGTGAGATGTTTCTGTAAGAAGACATTGATTTTGACACAAAGCCAATTTAAAGTAAAAATATATTTGAAAAAGTAAATTTTTAAGGTAAAAATATATTTGAAAACTAAAGTGCATTCAATAGATTAAATGTTCACTAACATGTGTTATTAACTCTTGTTTGGGTAACAACTGCTACAACTGTGCTGGGTAGCTTTAGGGAATAACTAAAAACATCTTCCATAGCAAAACAGACAATAACAAAACGTCTAAATGTCTAAATAATAAGTCCACGGAGTAGAAAACAACAGACTAAGCCTTTACCTAACTGCCAGAGCAGTTAACAGATTGCAACAAAAACCGGGCAAACAAAAAAAAAAACAGCCGGTGGGCTAGTCTCTATGGAAACAGAGATAGCTGCCTTGTTGCACAATTTAACATCTTGTTAAAATCACTGATGATGACGCAGGGAGTCGTTGTGTTTACTGCCACAGAGTGAGACAACACTACCCAAGGTCAGGACACAAACAGGATCCACTTTCATACCTAGGTTTAAATGAGCGCAACAAGTGAGACTTTGTCTCGGCCGATCTTGTTCCTCCAGGGCAATACAGGACAACAGAGGGCTCCTCAACCTACAACACGATCCTGTTACACCTGTCCCACCTCTCTGTCCCACGCTAAATATACATACATTAACAAAACAAAGAAAGCAACTTTTTTTCAGACCAATATGAGCTAAAACCCATCTGTATCCTGGAAGTTATGTACATGTTTGTACCATTATAACACAAATTGTATGAATTCACCTTGATTACTGTCACACCTTTACTGAAGAAGGCCTGTTCATGTTCTAATCTGCTAGCACTGTTTAGGACATCCACTGCTGGCAGAGTGACCATTGGGTGTTCCTGTCCCTGGTCTCAGTTATCTGCTGCCAAAAATGAACACACACTCCCTCGCTGCTCTTTTAGTTTAAAGATAGCTCAAGGGGTGAGGGGTGTGTGACTTCCTTCGTTACATCATCTGCTAGACTCGACAGCTAGGTCACGGCAACAAAGAAGGCTAATTTTCAGAGATTATAGGAGAGAGATGGGAGCAGTACAGTTCTGGAAACTGATTACGGATTAGATCTACTCAGTCATCTGCTGCTTCATCACAAGAACTCCTCTTAATGAAGTCTGAATGTTAGGTCAAATGCTGCAGTATGCAAAAAACAAGATAACAAGATCCGACATGTGACATGTATTGACATAACAAAAAACAAATAATGATTTAAAATAGGTCTTTACAGTTTATTGTAGAGTGGGGCTCCAACTAATGATGTTTTTGATAATTAAAATCAACTAGCCGCTTGTCTATAAAATGTTTGACAATGGTGACAAATTTGACAAAGATTAAACAATCAATATATTGCTCCAAAAGACAAAGAAATTCAGTTTACTGTCATGGTGAAGTAAAGAAACCAGAAAATATTCACATTTAAGAAGCTGGAATCGTGTCCCCTGAAAAAAATTGCAAAAATAAGTCCAATAGTTTAATTTCTTAACTATCTGATATGACAATCAATACCTTTATTGTAGATTGTAAGATACAGCACTGGAATGCAATGAGCTATTCATAATACATAATGTCAATATCCATATCCTATAGCCTCAGGTTTTTAGAAGAATGCAATGTGAGGTCCATATAAAGGGTACATATTGTTACAGTAAGTGCTGCAGAGACAAAGAGTGTTCTCGGATCAGATTCGACCGCAGTGTAATGTAAACAAAGCACAGGAGCAGGGGGAAGGGGCTAACCACACGGGGACTCTCGTTATTGGCTGCAGCTCCCCGTCTCTCACCATTCGGAAAAAAACATCCAAACACGCCTGAGCAGTGGGTACACGTGATCTGAGCAGCAGACCAAAACAAGAACTTCATGCACATTTCACATCAAAAATGTTATTTATATGTCCACGCATGAACCCTAACAAAAACTGTCGAAATAAAGACATTATGCTGTTGACATTTAGGCAGTGTTCACCGTATTTGTTATTTGACCAACCACTGTGTCTATAACAGACAAATAAGTCATGAAATTGGTCCTTTCGCATGGCAGCCATTCTTTGACATTAGCGTTCGTGCCGCTTCGACAACTGTACCAAAGTTTCCGACCCACAACAAACCCAAACGTAAAGTAAAAATGGACGTAAAAGTTGTCAACAACACCAGCCGAGTGATTCTCGGTTTAAAATACAGTAACATTTTAAAAAAGCGACTTTTACCTCATTCAAGTCTCCAGAAAGAGAGACTGGTACCTAAAATAGCTCAACTCTGAAGGGAAGATTCGTCGACCTCGTACTGTAATGCTCGTCTCTTCGTTTAAAGGGCTGTAGTTTCCCCAGCTGGCCCTAAGGACAAATAGGCGAATCTATTACTCACACAGGGGTGATCAACCGCCAAATAATGGCAACAAACGGATTTTGAGTACACATTGGAGTATGTGAAATAAAACAGAAGTATTTTAAAATGAAATACACATATTTTAGCCCGGTAAAGGCAATATAATACAATATTATACTCTATCGCCCTTGGTAGAAATGGTACGCTCCGCTCTGTTTCAGGAGAGGACGTCTTGTTTACGGATGTGACCTCAGTGACAGAGGGAAGTTTGTTTTTGAAAGATGAACAACCAATTGAACCGAACTAAACATTATTTGTAAGGCTTCTTTGCGGCATCTAAAGTATTGAAATGTATTTTAAACGTTTCCGACACCGATGATAAAATTAAAAAAAGTTTGGGTAGGCCTATTGTAATAACTAAGTATATTTTTACAAGATGTGTTTCTACATTGTTGTCTTTTGGACTCGCCCCACATTTGAAAGTAAATCTACCTCAAGGGAAGTCATTACATTTTAGTTAAGAGTTGTTATAACATTAATAAAACTATTTGATGTGGCTGGTATATGGTAGAGATGGAGTGAACAGTTGTATTGCTGGAAGCCACTAGAGAGAAGTAGTGAAGCAACAGGATGTGTTTTTATATAAATATTTATATGCATTCAAATGACTGTCCTTCTTCATACTGAGTGAGTGGTATGTTTAAGTTGATGATGTCTGATTGTAAAATTATTATGATGTTTTTTTCTCTTTTTTCTTTATTTGTCAAAACTTGCAGACCTTGCAGAGCCTCTCTGAAGGTAATTGTAATTGTTCAATGTTGCCCACTCAGATGCCACATGACAACAAGCAGATTAAAATGCTGGTAAAATCTTTCCGTTCAATGCTTCTCATAAAAAAAACATTTTTGATGATAACATATCTATGGTAGCTATAAATCACAGTTTATTGGTTGCTTCCTGTGAATACATTCCTGGTTTTAAACAGGGAGAGAACCAACACATTCTCAACATTGGCCGAGTTGGGAGTGAGCATGTGTTGTGTTGCTGAGAGAACAGGTCTGTCATCATTGAGAAACATGTAGCTGCCTTTACAGAGAAAAATGTACCTAAATATAGGTAAACATGCTTAAAAATGACCTATTTCTTAATAGAGACACATTTCAGAATCAGATTCAGAATATTATATTGTCCATTATATATATAATGGAAATGTGTCTTTGGAACTGGCAAATAAGATAACATAACACACACACATTACATCATACAATTAATGCACACACACCATTAGAGGATATGTTTAAGTTAAGTTCAAAATCCAAAGGGCTTTTTTTATTCGACGGTGGTAACAATGGAGTTATCAGATAGTGCAAACATTAATGACACCTTGTGGCATGTTTAACAAGGTTTCTGTAGAGTCGTTGTTAATTCAATTTGTACAATTATTATGAAGGAAATTAGATCACACCAGGCACAATATGGTAACATGAAAATCCAGTCATTATCTATTACAAGAAAGAATTTCTACTGTGTGCATATTGGATTCTTAGGGTTTACGGGGAAATGTTAGGCTGGATAAGGCAAACAATCGTTGAAAGAACAGAAGGTTTTTTGTTAAATTGTATCTGATTCTATCATTTAGGGTACATTTCAAATCAGCAAAACAGTACAAAAAAGTGTTCTTTCTCAATAGAACAATCAGTGGTTCAAGTTAGTATATTCTTTATTATAAAACGGACAAGTCAAATCAAGCAATCTGATTGGTTCTTAGCCGTGATATACTGAGCGTATACCACGAGCAGAATTGTAAGTTACTTTTCACAACAAGTCAGTATCCCTCCGCGTCTGAGAAAAACAGTATACCGTTGGGTTGAAAAGCAAACTGCTTTTCGTCGGGCCGAACCACGCCCCTTAGCTGTGATATAATGAGCATATACCACGGCCTGTCGTGAGCTATTGCTTAATTATACGGTACCGCTCATATGTGTAGGGAACTTAAATAGACAGCAACAACAGTGGGAAAAATACATATATACTTTTACAAAACCGATGNAATGAATTGTGCTACTTTTAAAGCAAGCAACGATGTTTTCAAATCTGTAATCAAAGAGGTCCGCAAAAACACTATCGACCAATCAGATTGCTTGATTTGACTTGTCAGTTTTATAAATATATTTACATTTCTTCCGTTACGAAACAAACTTACAAAGCATAAGATGGAAACATTTAAGATTAACTTCGACCTCCGGGGGAGTCTTAATATGGAGGAGTGGATTTAGCAGTGCCTATCTCCAGAAAAAAAAGTGTAACATATCCACTAGTTGCAAAGTTTAAACATTTCTTTATTTTATTTTAAGGGAAAGGATGTTTTCACTACTCAGTTTCTATATGTTACGGACAAACTTAATGTCATTACAATCATTTGATTAAGTCCTGCAATTCAAGTAAAATCCAATTTGAAAGGCTCTTAAGTCTATTCTACCATATATCCAATGATTTAAAAAAGTAAAAAAAATAATTGTATTAAAGTTTTGTTTTTTCATGTGATATGTTTAGCACTATCATTAAGGATAGAGATATTTTTTATTATAAAACTACCATACAGGTCATTTTGATTTTTAAAGAGATGTCATGTGAAACTCCAACATGTGTAGATGTACATTATACTATGGGATATCAGAAGCACTATTTTAGATATTTAAAATTTGAAAAAATGAGGTGCTACATCGTTGACAATGAGTCAAACATTTTACGCAAATAACATAGTTGACTGGACACATTATTAACCATCAGCACTATGTTCATTTCAAGGCAGAAGTGCAAACATCAATTGATAATGATGTGTAATGATGTCTACGTCATACAAATACTAGGTTACCTGTCAACTAAGTTACTACAGTTACTACAGTGGGTAACTTAGTTGACAGGTAACCTAGTTGACAATTTCCCTATTTTGACCCATCATTTCAATGGTAGGCCTTGCCCTTGCCTGGATGACCGTGTCATTATCTTGAATGTCAAGTACTTGAATTTAAGTATTTTATCAAATATTTGATATATGTTCTATAACTTAAGATAGCTTATGTTTGATAAAATAGGCTATGTATTTTTAATAATGTAAAGTATGGTATGAGAGCGGCAGCAATAGTGGCAAACCACGTGACACAGAAACAAGAAACGTGCGCCGTCGTTTTCAACGCTGTCCGTAGCTATTTGGATGAGGGGAAGAAATGCCGCATACGTAATGGAGAATATAGCTTGCTAGAGCAATTAAAAAAGTGGAGAGGAGGTAATATAACTGGGGATTCAAAATGTCAGAAAGCAAGTCATGCTATGCTACATGGTATTTACAAATAAACGCAAGATTGATGGCCAACAGCTAACACTATATGATCGTCCAATGACAAAGCTGAATGAGTTCAAATACCTACTGTGGTTTGATAGCAAATACACATGGAAAATGCATATTAATCAAGTGGAAACAAAATGCAAAAAAGTATTACATTTATTGCGAGCAGTAGCTGGATGCAAGTGGGGCGCAGACAAACAAGCATTAATAGACATTTACAGATTAATTATGAGGTCCACAATAGACTGTATAGTGTATGGAGCAGCAGCAAAAACATCACTTTTAAAAATTGATAGAATACAATATGAAGCATTGCGGCTGTGTATTGGAGCGATAAAGTCATCCCCAATTAATGCAGTTCTGATAGAAGCAGGAGAGACACCTCTGGAGATCAGAAGAGAGAAACTTGCTCTATCATACTGGGTCAGACTACAAGGAAGTGGAGAGGACAATATTACAAACAGAATACTGCAGGATTGCTGGCAATATGCAAAGTTCCAGGGTGGGTTTGGCTGGACGAGTAAGGAGAGAACGAGGACATAATGGAGTGAAGACCATCACGTTTGCCAAAGCAAGCCCATTTAGCAGTGTTCCCCCATGGCTTTTCCCAGAAGCTAATATGAGTATCATAGAAAGGAAAAAAGAGTGGCAAATAAATGAAGTGGGAATTAAAACGAGTATGTACCGGAAAAGTACTACAATTACCTCAACATTTACACAGATGGTTCTAAGAACAAGGAAGAGAGTGTTGGATGTTGGAGTTAATATTTATAAACAAAGAAAAAGAAGGGAGGAAATCATGATAGCTAGACTCAGAATAAATCACACAGCATTGAATGGTACGCTGTATAGCATGGGGAAAAGTGACAGTGACAAGTGGGAACTGTGGAGTAAAAGAAGATGTAGAACATATCTTGTTACACTGTGACATCTATAAAGCTGAAAGAGAAAAACTAAAGGATAACGTTTTAGAGGCAGAGAGGGAGTGGAATGTGGTTGGTATTCTGGGAACAAAAGGAGAGGGAGGGAGTAAGAGCTACAAGGCACTGTTAACTGTTTGCTGAGTGAAACTGGGGTAGGAAAAATTATTTAACATTAGGTTAGAATATATCATAGATTGTTGTTTTGTTTTGTTTATTTTACGTTTTTTGTTTATTTTTTCATTTTTGATTAGATCATAGATATACGTCCATGAGATGGAATGATATGATGATTGACACTCATGTACAGTAGGTGGCGGTATGCACCTTAAAGTTGTTTGTAATCCGCCAAAAACCGACGAAGAAGAAGAACGTGCCCCGTCGCCTTTCTCAAACGTATTACGTCACGCATTTCTGGTGATGGCGGTCGATTTGACTCCTCGTTTCAGAAGGTTGAACAGCCAAACAAGAAGCTTTCGTGAAAATATACAGCATGGTAAGATTTTAGCACTTACGCTTAATACGTTTGCATATAGCTATAACTCTACCTTTATATTAATACAACCACACAAACCAGCACAGCCGTGTATAAGAAATGCAAAGTCGCTGTGCAGTATTGACATAATAACCCAACGGTCGTGTTGTCAGCCTTCCATTATGTACAAATAGATTTGGTAAATTGTATAATGGATAATAGTTCAGGGACATTGCATAAGGTGTCAGCA